TTTTCAGGATGCAGATCGTTGGCAAGTGTGACCATTCCCAACTCAGTCACCCAGATTGGGAATGGGGCCTTTTCAGGCTGCAGGGCTTTGACTTTGGTCGTGCCCATGACTCGGAGCGGGCTGCAGATTGAGGTTGATGCCTTCACGGACTGCAACCGGATTCTGGCAAAAGAATGTGACTGTCAACAGTGCGAGTGTCACTGGTTTTGCGATGGCTGGGTGTGTCCTCGCAAGTGGTCTTCCCATCAGAGCCGCTATGGCCATCGCCGTCACTGATCGCCGAAGCGATTGCTGCTTGCTGCTTGCCTCAATCATGGATCACAACGGAGATATACCAGGATGGATCTATACCGGGATGATCGGATATACTAAGACCTCATTGCTGGTCAACCTTTTGAGCCACGTTTGGCGATCCATCACTTGCCGCTACTCAACCGCTCCTCTTGCGTAAAAGGGCCCGCAGTTTTGTTTGACCGTGCGTGGGTGAAGGCACAGACCCCAATCAGCATGGATGGTGGATATGCCCCAGTCAAAAGATATACCCTTCGCGAACCATCACAAGATCGGACGGCAAACACTTCTGCAAAGAGTCCAACAGTCCTACACTCTTCGGCTGTTTGAGAGTTTTGACAGATGCGAGCACAAAAACACCATGATCTTGCGAGTTGAAGATATGCTGAATGATGCTATGCGAACTGTACACAATTGCGAACTGTTTCTTGGCAGCCGGGCTCTATGTTACCCCCTTCCAAGGGCGGGTCATGGTGGGTCGGGCTCATCCGGTGGGTTACGACCCATCCCCCTGTTCTGCTTGGGGCCAGGATGGGCCAGGGCCCAGGTGAGAAGTCCGTCCGTCCGTTCATCGGCGCCACAGGTGGATGTGATGCGAAGTGCGCTGAAGGGACACCATGGAGATCTACATCCGTCCCTTCGTCCACCGGAACGTCAAACCGAAGACCCGAAAACTCAACAAGAACAGGTATTCAAGAAGGTTTTGGAATCCCCAGACACTCACTGGCATATTTACGTACATTGGCCCCCCAACAACGGCACCACCCTAACTGATAGGCAGTCCTATGCCAGTCCAAATCCCGCCCCACAAACCCGGCTCTTCCAGACGCCGAGTCGGGTGGATGAGGGAGTACAGCAAGGAGTCGGACAGTGGGGGACAGGAAGAAGTACCGTGCTGGTGGACTGTTTGAACCTGGATTTGAGGAGGTATATAAGGTTTAAAACAGAGTATAAGGCCTTGATTATGACTATACTGTTGCTGGCGCTGCAAAAAATGGGGTTGGGTCTGTCCCAGAAAGAAACGGTGACAGTGGGTAAACCATGATCACTATTTCATAAGGAAGGGCTGGAACTGAACCATCATCCACTGTTGCAGGGCATAGGATGGATATACACCAAAAAAGAGTTGGTCCAGCAAGGCTCTGCTTTTCCGATCCAATTCAGTGGAATCACCCTGGATCACCCGCAGTCTGCGGGGATTGCAGTGGACGCCCCCCCCAAAACGAAGCGGTGGAAAGCAGGTGAAGCAGAACAGCAACCTCGAAATCTCCTGGCCTAACAATCCTTGGGCTCTCCATGGCAGGGGTCGGACTTTGCATGGGAGGGGTCTGGGCCCTCAAAACCCTATGTGTTTGAGGGCCCGGATTCTTAGCGTGGCGGAAGTCCAGCATTTTCCAGGGTCTTCATCAGGGTTTGTAGGCGGTAGAGGGTCCGGAGGGTGGAATTGGTGTACCAGGTCCAATGGAGATCCCTAAGTAGTGAAGTAGTGTAGGGACATCCACTGGTGACACCCTATGAAGGTGCTGGCAGAAACTTAAAGGAAGGTCCAGGTTCCACAGACGATCACAGACAAACAGATCAAGGGGAAAAGACCTTTAACAAAACATGGTGGAATTCAAGAACGCTCCATGTGGCCTATATCAGATCTGAAGCATCATTATCACTCAAAGAGATTGGGTTTCCTTTCCTTGTATTGATTTGCATGTTGTTGGCGTCGTTTGTTTCAATCCTCTTGTCCTTTTTTCCTTTTATCATCCTTTTGGGTGACCATCCCTTCCCACTTGTCCACAGATTTGAGATGATCATGATTCTCCCGAATCGGAGATGTTTCGTTCCGTCCCCATGCCCACCGCGCAAGTCCATCCCCCAGCCAACAAAAGCACCAAAGCACAAGCAAGCATGCCGGAGAATTGGAGGCTATGTATACAGGCTCCAGCCCCATCCATCCATCCCACCCACTTCGAGGGAAAGACTGGCCAACACGCATCTTCCAACGAACGGACTCGTCCCCCTGCGGTCGATGGGGACAGACAGCCGAGGCCGGTGCCGGTGTCCAACGGGTTAGCGGACGTGGATCTCTTCAAAGTCGTGCCACGTGGAGAGGAACGTCGATGGATTCAAAAGGAGTCGACCTCGAACGTGAGTATAGTTATACACCTGGATCTTCTAATTAACTGTCAATAGGGATGAGGTCCCAGTATAGTTGCTATACAGGTACAT